GGCCCCGCCGCGCGCGCCCGGCCTCCGCCGCACCGCGGCGCCCCGCACAGAGGGGCGGCGCCCGCTCCGCCGCCAATGAGCGGCGGCCGCGGGGGAGGAGCCGCTGGGGAGAGGCGCTGAGCGGCCAATGAGAAGCCGAGGTGGTGTTGCGTCACGAGGGGGCGTGGCGTAGCGCCCCTGGAACTGCGGCGCCCCCTGCAGGCCGCGCTGGGGCGCCGACTGCTCCGGTGCCGGGGCGCAGCGGGGTCCCGGTCGGAGCCCCGGGCACCGCCGCCCTCCGCGGACACGATCTCTTCCTTTCGGAGAAAGCGGCTTCGTCTCCAGCCAGGCAGTACCTTCCCCCGCCGAGGGCGCCGGAGCAGGGGCGCGCAGGAGGCGCCCGCTGTGTGATCAGCCCTGCTGCGCGGAGGGACTCCCGCGCCGCCGGGAGGGACTCACGGCACGGAGCTGCCGCGGGGACTCGCCAAGAGACAGAGCCGAGCCTGCAAAGAAATGGGAAACAAACGTGGATAGGGAAGGAAGGGGCAGGGGGGCCCCTCACGAGGCCCCGCTGCAGCCACCCTCCGCTCTTGTGCCCTGGTCACAGGCGTTCTAGCACCGCTCCATGTTTTGTGTAATGCACTTGTTTTGTGCACCTCTTTGCACACAATTCATACAGACTTTCGTTTTTCCTCATCTCGGCCCTTTGCTAATTCCACAGGCAGGTAAGACGATAATTAATCACAAGCCCAGTAAATTATCCTACACAAAGTGCACTGTCATCTCTAAAACTTTGGAAGGGGCCTTCTCAGACAGCCAGTCATGTCAATTCCCGTTTAACTTCTCAGGATTATCTTGTACGTACATCTGCTTCCAGCGCTGGCATTTCCGGTTGTAGATACAAGCTCCAAGTCTAGCACATGACACTGAAATGTTCAAGGGAACTGGCTGAGCCTTTCATCTCACGGCATCCTCCTGAATTCCTTTAGATGATAGATCTGGTGATGCGAACGTTTGTGTAAGCCAAGTCTGTCAGAGCATCAAGAGGGCCCTGGGGAGAAGTGGAGTAAATCGTCTTCTCTTTCTTGGGGGTCATCTGCACTGCCTAGTCATTTATGAGAGACACACAGAAAACAGGGATGAGGCATCAAAGAGGTGCCCCAGATCTAATGAAACTAAAGAAGCTGAAAGACTGTGGCTATCGGGACATTTTTAAACTGCAATGGGAGAAGGAAAATCAAAGGGGAATTTGGCAGTCTCACAAGTGATCGCAGTTACACGGGTTTAAGCCACAGTTTTCACATAATTTAATCGGGACTTACACAGCTAACTGAGCTCATTTCCCTTTTCAGCTGATAAAAGCCAAGTTATCTGGAGTTGCAACAAACTGACTCTCAAAGCAGCACGTGGCAGAGGACGGAGTCACCCCATCATCAACAACAAGTTTAAAGTGATGACCGCAGATTCCTAAGCCTGGTTTGCTCAAATTTATGAAAGAAAAACTTGAATGTAATAAGTGAAAGCCCAGGACCTGGGCTTTCCCTGTGACCTCACTGGAAGAGCAGCCTCCACATTTCCACCAATGCAGATGAAAAACCCAGGGAGCAACCACACCTCAGAAGTGCATCTGCCAGCTCCTTCCCTGACCTGGTCACCGAAAGGCTTTGGCACAACTCTCCACGTGCCTGGCAGCACTTCAGGCTTCGGCAGAGCTCTCTGTCTCGGAGCTTTCGCAGTGCTCATCCCCTCGGACCTTCTGTCCGCAGGGTTCCCAGAAGGGGACACTTCCTTTCTCCCGGACTCTTGCCTGCAGGACTCTCACATCCCACAGCTGCTCAGTGGGTATCCAGTAGATGGCATCCATGCCTAACACTCATCCTTCGGTTTTCCACCCCACTGCATTTTAGTTATCAGGTGGGCGCAGAGGCCCGGGGAGGCCGCACGAAAGCCCGCAGGGCCTGGGGGGACAGGTGAGTATGGAGGCCAAGGGGAGGATGCACAAAAGCGCTAAGGAACCCCAGGACCACCTGTGGAAGGAGGCCCGGACAGGCTGCATGAAAGACCGCATGGCCCCCAGAGACACGTCGGCATGGAGGCCCAGGGAGGCCGCAAGGAAGACCACAGGATCCCCGGGACCACATGTGCACGGAGGCCCGTGGAGGCTGCACGAAAGCTCGCAGGGCCCCCAGGACCACGGGTGCACGGAAAGCTGCACTATGATCCTGTAAGAACAGGGCTACATAAGTAGAAGAAAAACCCAGTTAAAAAAAAAAACCAAAAATAAAACCAAACCAAAACAAAAAAAAACAGATATGTTTCCAATCCTCCCTCGAAGGCCTTGTCGGTGTGGAGAGAAAATACGGCACAGTTGCACAACCCTTAAGGCAAGGCAGAAGTCCCTGGTGCTGATGTGCAGACCCAGGGACAGAGCAGGGCTGGTCCTGGGGCCGCTCCGCCCCGACGGGGCGGGATGAGCCGCCCGCTCCAGGCTGGGCTGGGTCAAACCCAGAGCGGTCCTGGACGTGCTGGGGTCAGGGAGCCAGCAGCCAGGGCTGTGCCGCGGAGTTGGCAAGTGGCACCAGACCGGCGGGAGCTTCCGTCCTGCTGCTGCTGCTGGGCTGGCGCTCTAGGCCTTGGCAGGCTCTTGGCAGCTCGCAGGGCGGCGGCGGGGACCCCGGGCTGTGCCGGGGGACAGAGCGGAGTCCTTGCTGTCCCACAGGTTGCACGAGTTGCAGAGATTGCTTCGCACGCGGGCAGATCATCGTCCGAAATGGCAGCTGAGGTGAGGGCGAGCTTTGCTTCTCCTGCGGTGCTTGTCTCTGGGGTGTGCTGACAAATGCAGGCTGAACTTAAGCTATGATACAAATTCCTGGCAGCTCAGCCTGCTGTTTCCTTTCTTCAGGTTCTTCCTTCTACCTGCAAGAGATTAATAACTAATGCAGTTCATTCCTGCCTGTTTGTGAATAGGCAGATACTTTACAAGAGCTTGTGCAAACACTTCTCTGCCCAGAAACTGCATTTTCGGTTTCTGTGCCTGCTACATGAAGCACAACTAGTCGCCCTAGCAAGTCATGCTTTCTGTCTGTAGAAATGGCTCCTGCAGCCCTGGCTTCCCCTGCCCCTCGTTACAAACATCCATGAGGTGTCAGTGCACAATGCACTTCCTTATCTGAGCACATCTCTGTACCTATCAAAAGTTCTTTTGACTTAATGCTTCTTGCACTACTTTGTATTAAATCTTCTTTGTGCTGGTTTAATTTTCCTGAACATTTCTAATCCCAAAAGGTCCTCAGACCTCCCCATTCTGCAGTCTGCACTTTATCCAGTTTCACACAAAATTGCTGCCAAAGCCTGCAAAGCAAATCCTGGACACCAGAGGTGCTTCAAAGAGTAACTTCAAACTCTTCATAGTTACTGGAGTGTTTTAATGGAACTGGTTTGTGTTGGCTCAGAGCTCTTCTAACAGTCAAAAAAGTAGCTTAGACACACACACAAAAAGACTTGAGATTGCAAAACTACAAGATATTAGCTTGCACTGCAATCCTCACTGACCTGTGGACTTTTCTTTGCCTCTTTAAGAGGCAAAGAGATTGAAGGCTGGGGGTCTGCAGCTGCCCTGCTGCAGATTCAAACAGGTCCAGCAGCACATGCCCATATAGTTGTTCGGAAGGACAGCACAGGCTCACTCCGCACTCCTGTTGAACGGAGGCATCTTGGAGCCCTCCTGAGCCAGACCTGAGGGCTCAAGGGCTAAATGCTACTGCCAGGGACATGTTCCATCTCTTCCACTCCTTACAAAAGGTCTGTAAGCCCAGTGGCCTTTCTGGTCAGGACTACTGAACTGAAACAACACGCCTGTGTGTGGCCTCAGCATTGGATAAAGAATTAACTAAGTATTAGATAGTCTGTGGGACTATAAGTGAAATTAAGAACCTTGTTATTTACCACTTTCTTTCTCTCAGGGGGATAAACTCTGGGGAGGAAGGTTTGTTGGAAGCACAGATCCCATCCTGGAGATTCTCAACTCCTCCATTGCCATTGACCAGAGGCTGGCTGACGTTGATATCCAGGCGAGCGTGGCTTATGCCAAAGCCTTGGAGAAGGCCAGCATCCTCACTAAACCTGAGCTGGAGAAGATCCTGAGTGGCCTGGAAAAGGTAGTTATGTCCTTGGCACACTGTCCTGTCTCCTCTGGCCCAGCTGCAATTCCCACATGACCATCCCTGAAGCCCTGCTGCCTTGGAGGGATGCACTATGACCTTCCCTACCACCCTCTTCACACTGACCATCCCCTCACAATTCTTTCCCTTTGAATTACGAATGGTCTTTATGAGATGGCACCTGGGACTACATTGTCTCTGGCAGCCTGAGCTACTAACACTCAATGCCTAGAATTGTATAGGGGTGAAGAGCAGGCAGCAGCTAAGCACTTATTAAAAATATCCATTTTTATGATCAGCACAGATCAGCAGAGCTCGCGTGAGACTTCGGCCTACGCTGCCAACGCGATGGCAGAAGTTGCTCTTTAGGATGGGTACCTACACCACCACATGCAGCAGGGGATAAATAGAGGCTGACGGGTGTTTCTGCTGGTGTTTGTTTGCAGATCTCTGAGGAGGTGTCTAAGGGAGTTTTTGTGTTGAATAAAAGTGATGAGGATATCCACACTGCCATCGAACGCAGACTTAAGGTTTGGGTCATTTATTCTCTCCATCCTGCTACTCT